TTTATCACCATGGGAATAAACACATCCCAACTGCTAAACCTCTGGAAATCCTGGTCTAGTCTAGTTGACACAGGATCATAACTGTGAACTACCCACCTGCCCAATCCCAGCACCAGTTAGGGCTACATAACTTCAGGTTCATGGAGTGTGGGATAGATGGAAACAACAACAAATCCAAATCTGTCTATTCCAACTCCTAGTGATTCCTTGTAACCCTAGCAACTCTATAGGACAGAATAGAACTTCCCCATGGGGCTTCCAAGGCTGTGATTTTTATGAGATCAGATTGCCACCTCTTTCTCTTGCAGAGCAGCTGGAGTGCTTTAACCACTGTACCACCAGGGATCCTTGGGGGCAGAGAGGCCCAAGTTTAGTTAGTGGATAGAAGCCCATGTAATGAGATTGTTTATTCATACTCAATTAGCTTTTGTCACTGTGCCCAGTATAGATTTCCTGCCCCCGTCTTCTTCATTCCCTATGGGATTTTTGTTTTATTCTTGAAGAAAATGTGTCCTACTAGGATTGGAACAAACTCAGACCTAATTTGAAGCAGATGGGAAGAGTGCTTGAGCATTGGGTCTTAAACTCATGCACAGTACAAGTATGCTTTGCTCACCATCCACTTGGGCAACATCTGACCATCTCTATGTCTGTTATCCCCTATAGGGTTTCTTCTTTCTTTCCTTTTTTTAAGGGAAAACAACTCTCCTTTTGTTTATTATTTTCCCCTACAGGCAGGTGAGGCAGAAGACACGGTTCTGGGCACAGGCTTTCTGGGCTTTATCTGGTGGGCAGGCAGGTAGTGATAGCGGCAGGGCCCTGGTCAGGCCAGCAGAACAGTGGGCAGGACATGGTCCAACTCCTGTTGCCCCATCTGTCACTGCTGCTGCCGTACCTCTTCCTCCAGCCTCTGCCAACAGCTCCAGCAGCAGCGGTAGATGGGTGACTGGAAGCAGGCTCCCGTAGACTTTAACATAGTATTCAAACAATGTCCAAATCACATAGCATCCTATTTCATGGGGCATTAGCTTGAGGTTATTATCAGTAACCTCATATGCATGCGAAAGCTGGACAGAGAATAAGGAAGACCGTAGAAGAATTGATG